GTAGAACATTGTTTTTCATGAAACATTTGAATGCATGCTATGTGCACGCATCTCGGGTGAGTCCCCTGTCGTCTAAGCATTCGCTGCACCAGTATTATAACTTTTTGGGTCTATGTGACAAAGTTGTTAAATCAACGAACTAATCAACAATCTGTCTATCTTGCATTCTGGGGTCATAGTCTAGTAGTATGATCCATTGTGTTATGGTTATCTTTGCAGGAAGATCTTCTCGGCCAGCACCTCGCCGCTGCAGCTCGTAACCCCCCTCCGCAACCAGGTAAGCAGGAAATGATCCAAAAATTGAGATGTCCATACCTTTTTTGTGGTGCACACATTTAGGCTGTCCTTAAATTCAAAGATTGATGAAGATCTAATGTGTCTTCTGAAAGTCGACAAAGTTTTAAGATAACTCAACCAGATGAGAAATAGTTTATTTTTGGTCTAACCATGGCTTTGTGTAAATGCAGCTCACCATGCTCCTCCTCCAGCTCCCATGCAGAGCGGCGGTGGTGGCTCTATGCTTGGGGGCATTGGTTCAACCATTGCTCAGGGTATGTCGATGAATATGATTATTTCATTTTAATGAATGGGATGGGATATGTTTTGGGGGGGGGGTCATTGTGCTTAACCAATGAAAAAATTGTTGTAGGCATGGCTTTTGGAACTGGTAGTGCTGTAGCACACAGGGCTGTGGATGCTGTGTTGGGTCCCCGTACTGTTCAACATGAAACGGTTGTCACTGAGGGTGCTGCTGCTGCCCCTGCACCGACTGCGAATACTTTTGGTGGTGATGCCTGTGGTGTTCACACAAAGGCTTTCCAAGATGTATGCCTTCCTTACCTTGTTCAGGCCATCTATATGTTTGGATGCAGTGGCACGGGTGTTAATGATTTAGTTAATTTTTGGAGCTCTATTTTTTTCAATAAGAACAGTAATCTACAAAGATCTGAATCAGCAGAAACAATAACTATATGTTTTAAGTTTCAGTTGATGCTTTGCTGAAAAACTGGACTGATGTGATTATTTCATTGCGTTCAGAATGTATTTTGAAGTTAAACGTGTTTGAAATTTTAATTCATGGTTTCTTAAGAAAACCACGATAGTTAGTCATTGATGTATGAGTTCCTAGTGATTGGATCATTATGGCATCAAGTATGTTACATGATGCTGTTCATGTTTTCAGTTGTTGATGTACTGAATAACTAGGTCAGTGTTATTCATCTCATTGGTATCAGAATGCAATATTAAGCCAAATATGTTTGAAATGCGAATTTAAGGTTTTCTTCAAGAAAATCATTGATATAGTTATTGATCTTGCTCTTCCTGCTTTTGCTTAGTGATTTCATCATGATATTTTCTTACATTAGAGATGTTCAATTTTTTTCTTGCAGTGCCTGAACGGCTACGGGAATGACATTAGCAAGTGCCAATTCTACATGGATATGCTAGCAGAGTGCCGGAAGAACTCTGGAGCCTCATTGAGTGCTTGAGCCATTCTTCATCTGCTCTCTACCCCTTCTGCAATAGAATTATCTCAGCCATGAGTCTGCGTCAGTGTCAGTCCTTGTCTGTCTCTGATGGTTAAGATCATTCATGTGTAGTTGCGGGCTTCATTTAAATAAAGCCTTTTATGGAAGAAGCTGAAAAGAACTCTTGCATGAACCATCAGTATCAATTTGTTGCTGTTTTGATCATTGGATGTCATAATTGGTCTATTTGGTCTATTTGGTCTGCTTTGTATTTGGATCTATTGATGGTTGCTGTATACTGAATTGGAGCGAAACAAGTTTCTCTGTTTAAACATTTATCACATAAAGCTATGAAACTAGGAACAATCTTTGCTAGCTATTTATGTATTGCCGAAAAGTATATTAGGAGGGGGGAGAGGACTAATGGGCTCTCCGCATGAATAATGTTTCCTGAGCTTTTAGTTGTCTTGTTTTTTCTTGTTGGCCCTCGTCAGTATACTCCACCAGGGTTCAGCCCACGCCATGCTCATTTATTTCAGCCAGTCAGGTAAAGGCAATGGGGCATCAAAGGCCAATTCCAAAGGACCCCATGCCCTTACAACCTGTAACTGGGCCAAGTAATCGGGGGCAAAATTACATGTTCTAGGAACCCGCATGTTCTAGAAACCCCGCATGTTACTAGATTATTTCTTCTCTTTTTAAAATTCAAAGGAAAGTAAAGCTTTGAGGAAAAAAGAGATTAATTTTCAAGTCTTATTTGGTTATTAGAAAGAGTGAAATAGAATGATTGAAAATATTAATAAAAATAAATTAAATTATTTTTTATAATAAGTATGATAAAATTATTAATATATACTATAAGAATAAGAATTATCATATTTTTTAAAAATTTATGAATCATAATTTTTTACCTCTATGAATGTATTCACTTATTCTCATGGTCATTTTAATTTTATCTTTATTTTTTTATTCATTTCATTTTAGTAAACAAATATGACTGAGGGTTAGCATATGATCAAATGCAGTTTCACAAGGTCTATGTACTGTAGAGGAGGCTTTCTGAAATGGCCCTCCTTGATGGTCATATTATGAGCTTCTTTTTGATAACTAACCAGCAGAATCATTTGCTTCTTGTTGATATATTCATAGGATATCTCTCAATCACCCACGAAAGCTGGATGAGTCCTGTTTTAGTAGGGATTCGAGATGTTA